ATGCTTAATCAGTTTTCAATCCTTGCAGTATTTGCTGACTTAATTTTTGAATAAATCTAAAATGTCAGCCAGGATCAATCCCAGTTTCTCACAGAGGTCAGAGTGCTGCCTTCTCCTGGCACAGGGAGCTGAGGGACAGCCCAGTGGGCAAGGGGCCCTTCCAGCCACCCAGGTAGGCTCCCTGCCCAGACTCACACAGTTATGGAAGTGCCTTGAAGATATAAATTTATTCTCAAGCACCTGAGTTTGGCAGGAGTGTGTGTCCATCCTGCCACAGCTCTCCTACCTTCCCCAGCACTACAGTTACCAAAGTGATGGAAAAGGGATGGGGAGATCAGTAAAGGAAGATGCCAGGGGAGGAGAAATGAAATGCAAATATAAGTGCAGTATCTGCTGAAATGCCATCCTCAAAATAGTATATCAAAATCTAGGCATAGGCACCAAACTTTTGACAATATTAGGCTAGAAAAAGAAAAGTTTTCTTCCTAACGTGCTTTCATACCTGAGTATTTTCTCCAAAACTGCAGTATTTTCCAGATGTTGACTGTGCAAAAATAGCCTTACACATCAGGTTACTTGTTTTCTAGAAGAGGAAAGGCTGGAACACTGCATCTGGAACTTGGCCAAACTGCTGGGATGGAACCATGCCAGAAGTTGTCAGGTGGGGGCTGGTCCAAGAAAGCTAAGACAGGTATTAATGAGCTGTTGATATTTTAGAAGATCAGTTGGGCTGGAGGATAAGATCCTTGAGGATCTATACAACAATTGATCTTCCATATTTTCACTAGCAAGCTGGCATAGGAAAAAGTGTCATTTGCTAATGAGACAAATTAGGAGGGCTCTGAAATACAGAAGAAGAGTAGAGAGACTGGGCTACCTTGAAGGCAGGAGTTGTGGAGATGGGATGAAATGCAGGGAAACACAATGAGGTGCTGCCAGCAGGAATTGCTGCAGCAGGCAGGGAGGTCCTCAGCTGGCAGCAACCAGGGAAAGGCCTGAGCCATTGCTCTAACATGAAAAAGGCAGATCTGATGTTTGGGTAATTGGTTCAGTAAAAAAATATTCATGAAGCATAATGGCAGGGCAGTGATGGGCCACAGCTGGACTCCAGAAGACATTTTCAGCCACAGCACATGAGATGAATTTTAATGGAAAGGAGGCAGAGCGGGAGGTAGAAGAACAGGGAACAGTGACAGTGGCTGGCATAACCTGCTGGGACAGAGGCAAATGGTTCCCCACAAATACCCCTGGGGCACAGGAGGAAAAAGATTCTGTTTGAACAGCTGAATTGGCTTGGCAGCACTAGTTGCCTGTAGTCAGGACCTATGGAGGGAATTATGCAGGGGACTGATGAAAATGATCCCTTTTTTTCTTCTCATCTTTTTTCCTCTCCCCACACAGATATTTTTGATAATGAATTGCTGCTATGCTTGTCAACACGTGAGCAGTTCTGAATGGTGGCTCTGGCTTCTCTATCTTCCTGCTGCTGCTACTTCTCTACTCTGATGATCCCAGGGAAGCACAGGAGCTATCCTGTGAAATGCAACCCTTTTGCCACCTTCATGTGCTTTTAAGACCAACACTATTGCTCTTTGCACCAACAAACAAGCTGCCTGTGTGAAATCTGGAGGCAAAGCCATGCTTGAGCTAACATGTATCAGCTAAATGTCCCAAAGCTTTGCTCGGGCATAATCAACTACTCAGCCCCTGGGCAGGCTCTGCTGCACTGCACTGCCCACCTCCCATACTCCTCCCAGGGACGCAATGAGATGCCTTAGTGGCAGGGCAGAGGAGCCCCAAATTACAGGTAAGCTAAAGGCTGGGCCCTGGGTGCTTTGCAGCCCCCCAGCTCCTGCTTTTCAGTCACCTTTTCATTTTCACCTTTTCTGGGGTCAGTATTTATGAGCACCTGTCTGTGAAGGAGTAGAGGTGACACCTGAGCTAAAGCTCGCTGCCCAGGTGCAAAGGGGCACCGTTCACCACCCAGTGCCTGGCACTGTGATGTGGAGCAGCAGAGCCTGCCCCAAACTCACCTCCCAGCACCAGCCCAGTGTGATAGCAGCAAGACATCCACCAATCAATTCCTACAATTTCCCCCCATTCAAACTGTGCTCAGCCACAAATGACATCAATAATGAACAAGCACTAACCCTCTAGGTGGTGCCAGCTGGCAGTGATCCAACATGGCCTGCTGCCACCAAGGCATAGGGAGGCAAATGAGTATTATTCTCCCCACCATGTCTCACCTAGGCATCCAGCTTAGGGCATGGAAAATATTACACCTGGATCTCTTCATCAGGGCTTCTAAAAATTGTCTTGCAAAGGGTTGTGGAGCCCAGTACCCAGAAGAGATTCATCCTGCAACTGGCCAGGTGTGATGCATGCAGCATTCCTAGTTCAGGGAGAGTTGGGTGGTGTGAAGCAGAAGCCATTCCTTCACCCTGCAGAGCACAGGGCCACACCACAAAGGCTCCCCCAGGCTCTCCTGATGCTCACCTGCCCCCAGCAGCACCTGAGCACCACCCCTTGTGCTGTACCATGCTGATGGATGCCCCAGCCCTGCTGTCAGGCACAGGCTGCCTCAGCCTCATGGCCATCCAAATAGGGCCCATGTTGGCATCAGCACTACCAGAAAACCCACCCTTCCTGCTGCTTCCCTTGCTCAGGCATGGCAGAGAACACTCTGGGGGTGGGTCTTCCATCCATTCTCACAGCTGCTGCCACAACCACCACTGCTGCTGAAAGCAGCTATCTCTAGCCTCCAGCAGTTTGGAGACATAGGTAATCTTTCTGCAGTAATTACCAACTCAGTCCCTTAGAGGAATTCATGGATGAGTCCTCCCTGGCAGCTAATTACTTCAATTACTTCCTGACACAGAGCCCAGGGCTCTCTGCAGCAGCACACAGCACTGCCTGGCAGCTCCCTGCTCCTTATGTGCCTCCCTTCCCAAAACAGCAAGTGCCACAGAACCTCTCCTCTGGGACCACAGAGGACGTGCTGGACTGGATGGGCAGGGGTGAGACCCCACCATCACCAAGGACAAGGAGCAAAATGGTTTCTTAAGATGTGCCCCAGATCCTGGTTCAACACGGCTGCCCCACCACAGGACAAGCCTGAGCACCCCTTTCTCCTGCCAGGCTGCTGCAGAAGAAAGCTCAGCAGAACTTTCTAGCACAGGACCCCTCTGCCTAGGAGGCTCACAGGGAGTGAAGCCAGACTACTCAGGAACAGGACTGGGCTGCAGCAGCCAGTGACAGGTTCCAGACACCTTAAGGAAAAACAAGTTATTTGTGAGCAGTTTTGGGAGGAGGTGGGGCAGAGCAGGGGGATGGATTTGGGACAGCCACGCCACGTGTGTTATGGCATCTCCTCTTAACACAGTCACCAAAGCTCCCAATGCCCTGTCAAAGGCCTGAGAGTAAGACAAGAGTCAGTCCTGCTGACCCGGCCTCAGGAGCTGATCTTGTAAATGCAGAGCTTGGGAAGCTCTCCCCACACATCTGTAGATTGCTCTGAGTTCTGGGAAGCAAGACCAGGTACTGCAGCTGGTGACAGCCAGTGGTACCAGCCAGCCCTAGACATCCTACAGCTTAGTCCTGCACAGCCATGCTGACAGACAGCACAGGAGAACTCACACACTAAGGGGATGAGGGGTTTTGGAGTCAGGCAGAGACCACCTCAGCCCTACACCTGAAGATGCTCACAGGGCAGAGATACAAGCAGGTGGTTTCAGCCTCCCAGTAAACCATCACTACTTCAGGGCAGGACCACCACCATCTCAGACATTGTCTGTGCACCCCTGCTGTCACACAGGGCTGGGCACACTGGGTTATCTCCAGCCTTGCATCTGTTCTGGAAAGCAAACCTTAGGCTCTTACCAGGAAAAGCACAGCCCCAGCCAGGCCTCCAGAGAGGCGACATCAAGCAGCAGACACTCCCCACCAGGAACCAGAAGAGGACCTTCTCAGGAGCAGGGACTGACGTGTGCACAGTCTCTCCCTGCCCATTCAACAGTTTTAGAAAGCAGAGAGTGAGAGGGAAAAAAAGCCTTGCCCAGAAATCACGCAGTGAGAAACCACACAGGACTAGGAGTGGAAGAGTCTTTATTGCTTTGGTTTCTTACAAGTGAGAAATACGCATCCATGTTGCTTGCAGCACAGCACAGGGTATGCAGGGACACTGGGCACACAAGTTGCAGTCTCTCTGCATTCTCCTAGACTTCAGGAAGAGAGACCTTAGAAAAGTAGGGTAGCTGCCAGCTGAGAGAATAAAGGTTTGTGTGAAAGGTTATTGCTACAAGACCTGAAAGGTCAGGGACAGCTTCTGCAGAGCCTGCAGAAGACACTGACTCCTGGCTTAGCATTCCCAGCATACAGATTACAGTGAGGACACAAACAAGTCCCCTCACCTACCAGTCTCTTCTCCATCTAGGAAAGATCAGGGCAGTCAGAGGCAGGGACTAAAAGCAAGAGCTTCACTCATCCCAAGTGAAACTTTTATTCTCCTTAGCTGGGAAAAGCCCAAAGATGCTTCTTACATAAAGCTGAGCACTCCCCAAACCTCTCCTCACCTACAGCTGAGCCAGTACTACTCTGCTCACTGATGAGATGCTAGGCACCTCCATGCTCATCCTGAACATCCACATTACTCATTCAAGCAACCACCTGGGGCAGAGAGACTTTCACATCCTCCATCTCATGAGGCCCAGCAGCATCCCATGACACTGGCACAGTGTCCCTTACTCATCCTCTGAGCACAAAGAAAGGAAAATTATCTGGCCCTTCTCCCTTGGGATACTCAATGCCTTCTCCTTCCACTCCTCCAGCCTCTGGCAATAGGCACTATGAGGATGCTCCCATACCTGATTGAACCACACAAAAAAGAAAGCCAGAGACTAGGAACAAAACAAAACCAAACCAGAACAAAAATCAGCGAGGCCCCAACCCGAGCACTGCACCAGAGAGCCAAAGGGCACAGCAGCAGAGGAGCTGTGGCCAGCTCAGGCATCCACCAACGTCAGCCCATCGTGCAGGGCGCGCTTCCACATGTAATAGGTGGAGCGGGCCGTGAGTGGGAAGCGGGCACTGAACTCCTTGTAGGTTGGGAAGGTCTTCGACTCAAAGCGCTGCTGCAGGAACAGCTTGGCCTGCGCCTTGAACTGGGCAGTGGCAATGACATCCATCACAAACATCCGGCTGCTGGCTCTCTCCGACATGGCATAGCCCGAAATGCTGGTGTTGCACGGCACAGCAGGCACTGGCTTATCTATGTGCTTGGTGGCTACTTCCACGTGGCACTGAGGTTTGAGGCCTGGCTCTGCTCTTGGAGGTGCCAGGGAAGACACACGGTTCAATGGCAGGCTGGAGCTGCTCCAGGGCAGGCGATGCTGCCAAATGGTTTGGCCACTGCCCTTCCAAAACCAGTAGGCTGTGGAGGAGAGAGATGGATAGCGCAGGCGGTACTTGCAGAACGGCAGCTGCCATTGCTGGACCTGCCTCCTGGCCACATCTCGCAGCTGCTTTCTCCAGCACAGAGAAGGATGGAGCTGCAGCAGACTCCTGGATGCTGGCCGGTCTCCATTCCGTCTCTTCCTAACAGGCACACTGCTTGGCTTCAGCTGCAGGAATGGCTTTCCTACAGCTAGAGTTTTCTGGTTATCCAAGGGTGACTGGGGGTGCTTGAAGTTGGGGTTCTCCTTGATCGCTTTTCTTCGCCAGTTATAGTAAGTGGACCTGGAGATGCCTGGGAAGCTGCGTTTGAAGCATCTGTAAGGCACCAGAGTGTTCATGGAAATGCATTTCTCCAGGTAGGATTTGGCTCCTTGCATAAAGATTCCTGCTTGAATGGGATCTGGGGAAGTACTTGAGGATTTCAAGCTCCCCTGCTGATTTCTTGGCTCATTCACATCAGCCTTTTTTGGGACAACCCTGTGAAGTTCCTGCAAGCTGTGCGCCTCAGACAGAGCAGAGGTGTCACCATTGACCATGCTCTGCATCTCATGCTTCCAGGCATAGTACGTGGATCGGGAGATTTCTGGAAACATTTGTCGGAAGTGCTGGAGGGGGATGACATTGCCCTCCTGAAAGCAGGACTGCAGGAAGTGTTTAGCTGCAAACCTGGCAGCCGCTTTCTGTCGGTGCTCCCGAGACTGGCGCTTCCAGCGGTAGAAGGTGCTCTTGGTAATGCTGTAGCGGTCACGCAGGTTGGAGTAGGTCAGCTGGGGGTCACTGTTCAGCAGCTCAAGGGTCTTCATGGGCTGGACAGGAGGCTCTGGTGAAGGTATTGTGGGTTCCAGCTCCTCCAGGCCAACCACAGCCACAAAATACTGCGCTTTGAAGACCTGCTGGGAGAGCTGCTGCCCCGACCACATGATGTGCAGCGTGGAGGTTCGTGGGCCACACTTCCTGGGCCGGATCAGCCGGTTAAAATAGGGGCGGATCTTCAAGTTGCTCATGGGATAGATGGAGTAGATGTTACACTGCAGTACTGAGGCAAGAGCATAGACGTGCCACATGTTGGCAAAGGTGCCAGGAAAACAGGTAGCTTTGATATCAGCATCAAAGATGGCTTCCAGGATAGCCATGGGGAGGCTGGTCATCTCTGGGGTCTCCTCAGTGCAGAGGGAGTAGCGGGCAGCCTGCAGCATCACTTTGGAATCAATCATGCCATTCAAGTAGTATTGTTTGTGCAGCAGCATCTCCACCACAGTTCGCACCTGCAGCTCCAGGCTGAGGCTGGGGTTGCCCCAGAGCAGCACACTAGCAGCCTCAAAGAGGCGGTTCCCCTCGCCCTTGCAAACGAGAGGCAGCATGTTACTTGGGGCATCCTCAGGATAGAGGCTCCTGGCTACCCGGTCAACCTCCAGCTCCTCTTGGAACTGACTTCCACAATAACCAGGCAGGGAGAAGGATGACAAGGTCCTCTCTGCCTCCAGCGCAGCACTGGTGAGGCCCTCCAGACCAAAGCATTCGGTGGCTTCCTGCAGCTCCTGCAGCACAGACTGCACCAGCTGGTGCCTCTGGATCATCCTGAAGGATGGCAAAAATAAAGAAGTCAGTGGAGATGAAAACACTGCACACTCCAGACCGGCAGTGACCCAGCCTCCAAGTCCAGCTCCTGTGCAAAGGACAGGATGGGAGAAAAAGGTAGAGGAAAGGCCACCCTGCATATTCCAAGGACAAAGGAGGAAGCCCCAGTTCTCACCAGGCAGACCCAGGAGTGGAACAGCTCAGCTTGCTCACCAGTGACCTCCTGTGGGCAGCACATACGGCACACAGCCTCCACTTGCCTAAGCGAAACTAAGAATTGACTGCACCCATGGGGTGGGAAGCCAGGTCACCTCCTACCACGGCATACCTGGTTTTGGCCTGGCATCACCCCGACACCGACCTCTCTCTGTAGCGGTTCCATCATTTCCACTTTACTACTCCCCTACAAGCACCCAGAGAGAAGTTTCCCTCAAAGGGAAAACATTTGCCATCACTGCAGGAAAGGACCTGTGACAGAGCCACCCTGCACGGGGCCATGGATGCACCCGGTTCAAGCACAACAGAAGATGGGGCAAGGAGCTTGCCTTCTCCCTCAGAGCAGGGCACTGCAGCTGCACCCATTGCAGGCACCAAAAACTGCCACAGAACCTCGGATGGAAGTACCGTAGCCAAAGCCATGGCTACAGTACCTGAGCCAACACTAGATGTCACTTGCTGCTCAGCCGACACACACCACCGGCAAAGGAGAAGGCACGAAAGGAGGGCTTCTCTTGGATGAGCTACCAGGGAGTAGGCAACCCAAAAGTACAGAGTCCAAGCACTGAGTGGGTACTACAGACTCTTTATGGAGCACTCCTCCCTGCCTGAGCCGGTCCCAGTCTCATCCTACCTCCCTCTGCATGCCCGAGAGAGGAATGGAATGGAATACATGGAACTCATGGAATACAAAGGGTCAAAGCTTTGTATTTCTACTGGATTCCACATAGGAATCCAAAAGCTTTGTTCAGCTTGTGGAATCCAGTAGTGTCCCCACCACTCCAGGGCCTTTCATGATGGCTGCACAGCTCTTAGCTCCAGCTTCATTAGTGCAGCCCTCTTCAGCATCCTTCCACAGTCAGACAGCTCAGGCCTCTCCCAGCCAGCCTACTCTCCCCCTTTTGGGCCAGTTTTCTCCCAGGGACCACAACACCTCACTCAAGAAGCCAAATCTCCTCCATTTTCTCCTAATCTTCATTCTCATATCACACCTACTATGTACAGCATCACTTTGCAGCCTGCTCAGTTCACAGCCCAGAGCTCACCTTCTCTCAACACTTCACAGGTACGACTATGCACTCACAGCTCTGTGGGTACATGAGGAACAGCAGAAGCAGGAAAAGCAGCAGCTCTACAGTAAAGCAGATGTCCAGCCAGAACTCTCCCCATTTTCAGCCCTGCTGCAGATATGGTTATTAGTGTTGTGACATCTATGGCCCCCGGCCATGAACAAACCACATGAGGTGCCACAGAATCACACAGACACATAAAAGTTCTTCATCACAAGGAGCCTCCGTGCTGCTGCCACTGAGTCTTGCCTTTAACCAGATCACAGGTAATCACCAATTGCATCCCTTCCCCTGCTCCAAACTTCTCCACAATCTCCTGCATGTCAGAGGCCAGAGTGTTCTTACAGCTGCTCCCACAGCTGTAGGGCATCAGTTACTAGAGACAAACACAGGAGAATGCACACAGCTGTGAAGCAGGCAAGATAAACCTGTCCTAAAATCCTGGTCTGAGAAGGTATGGAATTGTCACTTCAGGTCAGATTTGCATTGTTATTTTCCTAGAAGTCTGTAGAAACTTTGACTAAGACTATGTTGGGTGACATGAGCTTGAGGAGCTGAAACAAAGGCACAACTCAGGACAACTATAGGGCTGAGAAAGCCCAAGTCCTCCCTCTCTGTGGTCTGTCAAATGCTTTGTGAGCCAGCCACCTCCCCTTGCAACAGCCAAGGTCTGCTGAGCACTGTCCCACCAGAAGAGCCAAGAAAGACAAGACAGATGTCTTTCACCCAGAAGAGGGTGAGGACATAGTTGATATAAACTAGAGAGCATCAGCAACAACCCTGGTATTTCTGTCCTAGTAGGCATTTCCCAGCCCCTTAAGGACTGAGGAGGAGCTGGAGGAACAGCTTAATGGCCATTAATCCTTTTCTTCAGTAATAAATCCACAGCCTCAATGTCACTGTCAGCTCCTGCTTCTCAGAGCACTCCTAAGGCAAAACCCACAGCTGAATCACCAGCAAGGAACTCCTGGGGCAGGTGGAGAGAGGCTTGGGTAATCAGAAACAGAAGTCAGAAAAGCTGGGGGGCTTGGTTCATGGCCAGATCAAACCCAGCAGCTCTCAGCACAGAGGACCTGATGCAAAGGGAACACTTCTCCTTGCACAGCCCCAGGGAAGCATGTTGAACACGACAGACAAGTGTTCACTAAACCACCTCAGCACCAAGAAGTAACCAAGGGAGCTTTCTGCTGCTGATAAAGGTTTTACCCAACCTGGCCACTTTTGCATTGTAACAGATAAGAAACAGCTGCAGGTCACGTTCCCTCACCTAAACTGATGGACTGGTGGCATCCAGTAGTGCAAGTTCCCCCAGCCAGTCCCAAAATTGCTCCCACCAGCAGGAATCCAGGAGACTTCAGCCCCAACTGCCCAAGACCCCATGTACCCCAGAGGGGCAGGGGTGTTCATGCACCCCAGCCCACCTGGGTACAGTGGCTCACTGCCCAGCCCCAGCTGCGGTTCACACCACCCCAGTGGTACAGGCTCTCATTCGAGAGGAGGATATTTGAACAAGCGGGACGGTACGGCAGGAGCACAGAAGTGGTAGCCTCCAGCAGCTGTCTAGGCTAGAAATATCACCGGAGGAGCTCTAGGGGCAAGCAGCAAAGGCAGCAGGATGCCTGCTCCATCTGCCAATATCCACAGATCCACCGAAGCTCATAAATGGGACGTAGCTCACCAGGAGAGGGGAAAGCCTCAGACGCACCTTAACCTAGGCCGAAGCGCTGCAGCCAAGTCCGGCTTCGTCCGCCCCTCGGGCGGGGGCACTGAGCGCTCGGTGCGGGCGGCGCCTGAGGGACACCCCCAGCCCCGGCACCCGCGGCTGCTCACGCCTCTCCCGAAGGCGCCGGGGGTGGCTCCGTGCGGCTGCCCCGCGACGGGGCCGGCCCCGCACCCCGGGTGGGAGCACAGGCGGCCGCTCCCCTCGCCAGGAGACAAAGGGACACACAGCCCCGGGCCGGGGGAGAGGCCGCCGGTGCCCGGGCAGCTGCCGAGCGGAGACCGAGGGCAGAAGGGGACGGGACTGGACGGACGCCCGCCCGCCCGCCCGCCCGGGGATGGTGCCGCCACAGCGGGACAGCCCGCGGCTTTGGAAGGGATGGCGAGGAGCCGCGGCCCCGACGGCGCCCAGCACGGCTCGGCACTCACCTGACTCCGCGGGTCAAGTCACGCCCAGCCCGCACACCGGGCCGCCCCGCACCTTTAAGGGCGGCGGCAGGAAGCGGCGCGGAGCCGCGGCCGCCCCGGTGCCAGCCCCGCAGTGACCCCCGGGAGCGGGCGGCCGCGTGCGGCGCCGGGCCGAGCCGGGCCGGGCCGGGCCGGGCCGCCCCTCCCTCCCCTCCCCTCCCCTCCCCGCCGGCCCCCGCCCTCCCCTCCCCCGCCAGGAAGCGGGCCATCCCCGCGGCCCCGGCCCAGATGAAAGCGGAGCGGGCCGGGGGTCACTTCCAAAGCTAAAGTGATAATGGCCATTGTGCCGCCGCCGCCGCACTTAAAGGGCCCGCCGCCTCCGGCCGCCCTGCCCCGCTGCGCCCCGGAGCGCCCGGGCACCCCGCGCCCCAAAGCATCCTTCTGCCCCTCATGCCCCGCATGGCTTGAGCCGCATGGCGAGTGGCGGAGCCCATGGGGCCGCGGGGTGGGAGCTGGGCGCCTGCCTCCGCCATCGTGTCCCACGGGGAGCAGGCATGTCCCGGGTGAGTGTCACTGCAGCCCAAGGATTGGCACAGCCTGTATCTGTGTCTGAACCCTTCTCCTGGCTTGCTCCTGACGAGGCCATGGTCCCTCTGTCCTGCTAGCTAGGACATGCCCTTTCCTCTCTCCTTCCCAAGTGCGGCCCTTTCACCAGCAAGGCCAGGCTGGTGGGACCTTTGGGCTCCTAAGGCAGACAAAGCTGCCCGTCAAAACCTTCTCATTTGTCTATGGGAGGCACCCAAATTACAGAAACCTTTTCCCTGTCCTCAGCTCTGGACAGCCTTACATCTGCCTGCTGATGCTTGGGCCCTCAGTGGAGCTGGCTTTCTCCCCATTATCTCTGCCCCGCTGCCTCCTCAGCCTAATCTCAGGGCCGAGGTCCCCCTCCTTAACTCCTGCTCTCACAATGGCTTCACCCTGTCTCTTGGGCATCACGTGAGGCTGTGCAAACAGCCAGCACATCAGGCACCTCGTTCCAGCATCGATCCAGCATTGCTAAGTTGTCAACACCACCTCCACCCTATGGCGTCTGCACACGTCCAGAGCTCTAGAGCTTCCTTCAGAACCTGTCTCATCCCAACCTACACCACCCCAAAACAGGAACCCAAGGAGCCCATCTGGTCGTGGGTGTGAGGCCTGGGTGCATTTTAGTAACAAGGGTTATAGTTTGGTCAAGAGGGAAGAGCTGGGATCTTCACTAACTGTGTCAGTGCTTCATGCCCCCTGTGTGTGTGTAGCTCTGGTTGCAGGCAGTATCTAGCCTCTTCTCCCTCTCCCCAGCCTATCCCTGGGGAGCAGCCTGAAACCTGCCACAATTGCTCCAGATCCAGTGAGGGGCACAGAGTACTCCTGATGCCAGAGACAGCAAGGGTTTCCTGCCCCACATGCCACTGCCCTTGGGGAACCTCACTGTGGCATGATTTCTGCTGCAGCATTTGGCAATGAGAGGGCAGGAGGGCTCACAGAAACACCGTGTACCGGATTCCTGTGCAATTCGGGAAGCAACCAAACACAGATATTTCAAT